ATAATAATTAAAAATTTTATCAAAAGAGGCTATTTATTTGAGTTCATTGAAAAGGAAAATCTTTGAATTGTAGACAAGGTAAACAAAACATGACATCCATATCTTATTTTCCCTCACTTTCCTATTTGAAAATTCTTTTGTTAATTGTTTAAAAATTGGATTAATGATTTTGGATATCAATGAAAAGAATGATAGGGAAATCCCCAAAATTACTTATTTTCGAGTATAAAACCCCCATGGTTTTTGCAATAATATTAATTATGCAACTTAGTTTTACAAATTGTTTGAATAGTAAAATCTAACTTGAAAAAAAATGCAAAAAGATATGCGTCGAGCGTGAGCAGTGGCGAAGACAATTTAAGGGAGGGGGTTTAACGTCCGCTTTAACTGGAAAATATGAGTAGGTAAAAATTTAGTTTACAAAGTATTTTGTTATATCTAGAAAAAATTTGCTTTTATTTCTTTTTAATTGATAAATTCCCTCCTTAATTTCTAATTCTATAAAATAAACTCAGAAAGTTCTTCTCTATTTAAAAAATTATGTGAAAAAACTTAAAATCTACCACTAAATAAAACTAGATAGATTTCATTTTATAATAAAATTTTCAAATAAAAAATTTGTTATAAATTATATTTAAAATAATTATAAAAATGATTGCTTGCTAGAAATGATATAATTCGTATGGAATCGGCGTTTGACCCTATTTTCAATTATAATAACGCGCTTAGTATTACTTTACTAAACAATCGCTCAACCTTAACGCTGGTAAAAAAAAACCTAGGGATGTGAACCCTTTGACAAAAAAAAGGTCCGGGTTGGGGTTCAGGAATATAATTTTAAAAAAGGGTTCCGGGTCCAAGGTTTGAAAAACAATAAGAAACGTTGACTCAAAATAACACAATTTTTTTTTTCATTTATTTACTTTCAAGATAATTTAAATGTTTTATTTAATCGCACAATCATAACATCTTCAAAGATATTATTTTTGAGATTTTCACGTAAATCTGACAATATGTATTTCAAAGAAGAAACTGCACGTTCTACGTTGACATAAATAAATAGCTATTCATATAATACATTATAAATTTATAAATTATTGTACTTGTGTCGCTGGTACACCCATTGGCATACGCAGCGGGGGGGGGGGCAAATCCCATCAATTAATTTCGATTTCAAGTTTTCCGACGTAATATTTACTCATTATTTTCAAATAGTGGCGTAATATTTATCTACCATTTTCAAATTTCTAGTCAAATAATAATTATTTCTGAAACTTCTTGTACAACAGGGAAAAAGAAATTGCAACCTTGTCCAGAGATAGAGTCTCTGCCATCAGCAGTAACAGCTTTTAAGGAGTTAGAAGAGTCAATTATTTGCTATTACTGAAATATCACAATGGCCTGAAAGAAATATTTCCTCAGAAGCAAGAAAATTATTGGATTCAATGCTTATTCCAAATTTTATTTCTCATTAGAATGTATTATTTAATTATACAACTATTTTAAGTATTACTTTTCAAAAACATGACTGACTTGATTAAGAAGATGAGAATAGCGGAGAGCATCTTATCAGAACTCAAGGAAATTAGGGCTAATGTTGATGAAGAATTTCACATTTTATATTTTATTGTTGAGTCAAAGCAGAGCTATACGTGTTTAATATTTGTCTCCCTCGACTTGTAGCAAGGCAAGCTCATCGTTAAAACATTAATATAGGATCAGTAGAAGAGTATATCTTAAATACAAATACATTTATAACCCAAATAAATGAATTTTTAATTCATCATGCAGCACTTACTAATCTGCAAATAACTTCCACAAAAGCCTTCCCAACCTTTTTTAGATGGTGATAGAAAAAAAAATATTTGTTAGATTTTTATTATGAAGATGTTAAAGTATCTTATGATGCCTTATTAGCTGAATAACTATGTTTATAAAATTAACTATGGTTGATATAGTCCCAAAAAATGCTATGGATGCTTTGCATTATTTCAAACACATTTTAGATTAAATTCCCAATGTATTAAAAGGGTTTATAAACTCTTCCCATTAGTAAACTAATGAGAGAACATTATCTTTTTTAAGAAGAATAACAGAGGCCTGCAGAAGTATCATTTGCAGGGCACGGCCCGGATTTTTTTTAAAGATTTTTTACTGCCCGGCCTTGGTTTTTTTTTAAAAATTTTTAGGCCCGGCCAAGCTTTATTTAAAAAAAAATTTAGGCCCAACTCGGCTTTTTTTAAAAAAATTTCAGGCCCGGCCCGGCTTTTTTAAAATAAAATTTTCAGGCCCGGCCCAGATTATTTTAAAATAAATTATATTTATTTTTGATTTTTATAACTAATAATAACGATTTCAAATATAAGCTATTTTAAAAAATACAGCCCGGATTGGGTGTTTTTTAAAATAATTCAGGCCCGACCTGGGTGTTTTTTTTAAAAAATTTCGGGCCCGGCCCGGGTATATTTAAAAAAATTAAAATACTGTCCTATTTTACATTGTAAATGTATAACATACAAAATGCAATTATTCCTAAGAAACTTTTTGTGTAAAGGCTCAAAAAATTCAAATTTCTATTTTGGGTCATTTAAGTGATTTTTTACATATAATTTTTTTTATAATTCACATTAATTTTAAATTATGTATTAGAAATAGTTATTAGTCCTAATAGATTTATGCTTGATATTTTTAAAAAACAATAATATTTCAAAAAATTTTATTACCCCCCCCCCCCCCAGACCAAATTCCTGCGTACGCGCCTGGGTACACCCATAACGATTCTAGATAGGATTCATAGTTCTGGATATTAAAATTTTTCTTCCCAGAATTTAAAAATATTTGCATCCTTATTCATTCGCTTAACCTGTGAAAACTTATCGATCAAAGATGCAATAGAAATTTGTGGTCCCCCTTTCATCTGATAATAATTTATTTTTTCTTATCTAAAAGTAAATTTTTAAAGTCATTTCTGTGTTATCACTATATCAAAACAACCAGTGATGTGGTAGAGTAACCTCCAATATGTTGTAACGTAGAGTGCTATTTATGTCATAAACTTTTAAGATGATCTTTAGCCATCTGTTTTTGCTCAATTATCAATATAACTTGATAACAAGGGTCTAAATATCTAGAGGTATATGGGGGGAGGGTTATTTGAACCAATTTTTGCCAAATCGGATAGCATAGCTCCTATGTTTTTTATTTAGATATCATAAAAACAATATATGAATAGATACCTAAAACTATACACTATAAAGGTGACTTATAAAAAATTTTAAGAATATAATCATATTTTTGAAATTTTAATTTTTACAAAAGTGGAAATTTTGTCCAACAAGCTCCAATATCGGGGTCAGGCAAATCACCACAAGGAGTTTACTAAACCACTGATTTTTTAGGCTATAGTTAATTTAAGTGCATTTTTATTTAATAATAATGATACGTATAGAAAAATTTATTGTTTTATTGTTCAAAATATCATACTTATAAATTGAGGCTAATTATATATAAAAATTGAAACTTAATTTTGGATAATTTAATAAACATTTTGGACATGAAAAAATTTATCGAAGTATGAACATGTACCATGTGCCCATCCTTGGCACATTCTGCTTTGGTACAATTCTTCACTGCTATGATGTTTTATGTAATTCAGTTTACAACAAAGACAAATATCTATGTGAATAATTTTTTTTACTATTTTTTTCTTGCAAATATTTCACTTTCTCTCTCTTGTGATATCTCATAAGTTTAACATAGGAAAACCTAAAATAAACATGCCAATAGTGGTAAATTTTACAACCCAATTTGGTGCTCAGGCCTGCTCTGAGAACGAACCCAGCATAGATCCGAGGTTCAGACCCGGGGTACAGACCCGAGATACAGACCCGGGGTTCAGATGAGTGGTCCAGACCTGGGGTTCAGACCCAGGGTTTAGACCCGGGGACCAGACCCGGGGGACCGGTGGTTTAGACGGGGTTCAAACCTATAATTTAGACACGGGGTTCAGGTGAATAATATTATTCCTAAATTCAAATAAAAATTGTAGTATAGAAATATCAAAATGCAATGACATTTTCTGGGGTTAGATAGTAAAGCCCTGCAAGCAACTCAGCTTAGGGTTAAAAAAAATTTAAACAGGACCACCTAGGGCTCAAATACCAAAAAATAGGATTAAAATGAGTTATTATATTGATTAGCCGAGCGATTATTTCCAGCTATACCATCCTAATTCTGAATTAGATACGAACTTTCTGGTAGGATTTGTTTAATTTTATCGCTATTTTTTAAACACGTAAATTTTTTCCCTAATTTTAGAAATGTATCAACATTAGTTCCTAAATTCGGTATTGAATGTAGAATACTTTTGAATCGTTTTTATTTATGGGAGAAGGGGGTGGGGTTATAAACAAGCGTCTTTTTGTCCTACCTATTCTGAAGTCAAAATATATAATTTACACTTTTTATATGGTTTATGTAATTGCCATAATTGGGTAATGGCTAAATACAGGCGAACTCGGCTCAATCTTCAGGTGCTTGCCGAAGAAAATCCGTTAACATTAGGGCGTTTTAATTTATATTAATTTCTTCCAAATTCGAGCCTCTAACTTTTTAAGAATCTCCGAAAAGCCAGAGTGATCGTTTTTGGCTAAAAAAACTTGGTCTAGCAGAATTTTTAGACGGCTAAAAATATATTTGATTTAAAGAATTTTAAAATTAAAATTGTCATAAAATTTAAAAAATAATTACATCTATTATATATATAATCGAAGCATTAAATAATTATCATAAATTCCAAATTGTATATTTTCTATATTGTCAAAACAAATGCAATCATAATAATATTCTCAAGATTCCATCGTATAAAATTTCATAACATTTAATAATCTTTTTCATAAACAAAAGAATCACATGACTCGAAAAAAAACATTAATCATATCTCGAAAAAATATTGTCCATATTAAATTCTAATAAATGATCAAAAAGAAATATAAAAATTATTATTATTTATTTTTATTAAATTTTCTTCTTTCTGTTTCAGGAAGTTACATATTTTTTCTTGACCATACATAATTTTCATTGAGCCGTAGCTACCCATTTTTTTCTTAACCATACGTAATAGTTGTCATTGTGCTGTTGATTATCATTTAATTTGACAGGATGTGTGTAGCTTGATTTATCCATTGCATCATTGGTCAGTCATGATCATTTTATCTTAAGCTTGATATCATTAATCCAGTATCATTATAGTAGATTGGACAGAATATTACAAAGAGTAAGTCAAGTTTTTTTTAAATTATATCCAAAATGTAATCATTATTCATTCTTTTTAACAGTATCCCCAGATACACTTCTTCCCTATCAATCATAATCCTAAATTTCAAATATTAAACCATTTAACAAGAGATCGTTTATTATATGATAAACTACTACTTTCCCCCTTTCCCTGGATCTAAAATAATATCAAATGACCAATTTTGTTCCTTTATATAACCTCCAAAATTTTAAAAATCAAATATTCTATAGCATGCGGGGATAGGGTAGGGGGTATTTTTTTTTCTCTCATGTATACACCAGTGGCGTAGTCATGATTTTCTCATGAGTGAAGGGGGGGGGGGGTACTGTGATAAATTTATGTGTAAAATGAATATATTTGATACCCTTTCCCTATAATTATAGTCTAATATTTTTTTAACAAATTATTGTTACTTTTCAGAAATAGTATTATTCTGATAATTGGCTCATACTTGAACTTTAAGCTGCAAATGGCCAATACTCAAAAATAATAATCCTCTAATAGTAAATGATTATAATTCTATTTTCCTACTCTTTTATTTAATTTTTTATTAGTACAATATAGGGTTTAACTTCATAAATTAATTTTTTTAGTCAAAGTAGTGTAGCCAGGATTTTCTTATGGGGAGGGGGAGGGTTTAAATGTTTTTTAGTAGGCTTTGGCCCTAATATCCCATTTTTTATGAACACTCAATTTCTTATATCTTAGATTATGTTAAAATTATCTGAAATATTTGCACATAATAAAATTTTAGAGAGTATTATAGATTTTATTTATTATATAAAAATAAAAATACTTTAGCATATAGTATTAATTGCATAATTTTTAAGAGTTAATACAAAAATTATATAAATGTTATAATTAGGAATTCAATTTACGAAAAAATTTGATGGCTAAAATAATTAATAATGTTTTGATATTTGGCAGGGAACAAAAACATTTCAATAAAGAGTTGCCGACTCTTGTCTTTCAATGAATCTAATGGGACAAAATCTTTTTAGTTTCTTTTTTTTGATTCTTTGAGTCAATTTTTAAAAAAATCTATTTTTATGGGAGTGTGGAGAGGGAGGGGGGGGGGGGTTTGAACCCCCAACCCCCTTCTCCCATGCCTACGCCACTGGTATACACTGATAAGATCATAATTATTTTAAAAAATAATAATAAACAAAAAATTTTTTTATCATAAAAATAAATCGAATATCATAAGTTATGTATTAAATATTTTCAGAGTTGGTTCTAAATCACAAGCTTCCTCTCTTTTTTAGCTATAGATATTCTATTAGTTAGCTACTATTTTTGTAAAAGTAAGTACCGATATATTTTTTTAAAAATGTAGCGCGCTACTGTTAACAACATAGATTATGGTGAATAGTTATAACGATGACGAAACTAGTGAAACAATTGAAAAACATATATCTCTCACTTAATTTATTCAAAAGGTAAAGCAAAAAAATGATATTCAGCAGCAAGAGTGGCATGATTATTGTACTTCATAAATATATTCATCTATGCAAAATCTTATTCAAATATCCGCTTATTAAACCCAATAGCGAGTATCAAAATAGCGATATATGATTATATCTTTTTATCTATTTTATATTCGTATTATAGTTATAATATAAATGTATACATCTATATTATAATTTTACGATGTTGTTACGTCATGTCATCACTACGTAGTGTCATCGTGACGTAGGGTCATCGTGACGTAGGGTCATCGTGACGTAGGGTCATCGTGACGTCATGTCATCGCTACGTAGTGTCATCGTGACGTCATGCTTTATTTATTTATTTTCGTAAATAATTGTTTTATTTTATTTATTTAAGCAGAAGTGGATAGAATGATGAAAATAATTATAAATTCTCTATATCAAGATATAGAAATAAACATTATTAAATTATTAAATTTAACTCTTTATATAATATTTTTTTTAGATATATCTTCATAAGCTTATATCAAATGTTGCGGATGCTCTTGATAAAATTAGATTTTTAGGTAAGTCATATATTAATAATCATTTACATAAATTATATTCAAATGCCTAACCTTTCATATCCCTAAGTTTATTTTGGTTTTCAAATATAATTTTTATTTTATAAGATTCTGTTTATATATCTATTGGTAGTTTAATCACAAAAGTTTGATTTTCTAACTAAATATGTCTTTCCTTGGATATTTGGGAAAATTCCGCTTGCTTTAAACAACTTTTTCGCAAGCCTGGGCTTGCAGGCCAATGAAAGTCTGATATTGATTGTATTTTTAACATTATGATTTTATAAATATTTTATTACAGCTCTCAACTACCAAAATTTTCATGATCGTTAGTTGGGCTTGGTGAATTTTTTTCAAAATTATTATGGCCTTGGACCTTGCTTGGGAATTTTTTTAATATTAAATATTAGGCATATGATCAGTAATATTTTTAAATATATATTGACTTAAAACATAGTATTTACTTGGTTTTAATGGATTGGACCTGGCCTGAAGAGATAGGTGGGTTATAAAGAATATAAATTGGATATTATTTTGAAATAACTGGTATCAACTATCATAAAAGTAAGGATTCTCATTCCCCGTCAATTTTGTCAGAATTTTATTGTGAAAATTTATGAAATAAGCTAAAAAATTTGTTGAATCTCGATATCACATTTATCTAAATATAAAAAATATCTACTTTATTGCTAAAAAGTTCATAATATGCACGCAAACAATTATTTGATTTATACTTCATATTAATATAATATAAAACAAAAGGTTATTTAAATAAAAATATAATAAATGGGAAAATATTTATAAGAATCGCTAGTTAAGATTACAATTTGATTAAATAGGATATATTATCTAAAAAAATAAATACATCCATATCCCGTTCGTAAAGGGAATATAAATTATCTATTAAAATATTAAGTTGAATATATTTTCGATTTTTTCTTATATTCAACCAGCTATTAATTTGTATATATTTGAGCTCACTCGAGTGTTGGTGACTTTTTAAAATATTTATTAAAGAATAAATATTAGGATGCGCGCAGTGTGTTTTGCGCTTCAAGCTATGATGATAGCCCTCTAGATGGTTGTTTGTCCTAGGACCATTAACTTGATATCTAATTATAAATTTATTTTGTATATACACATTAAAATTTTTAATACCTTGTCCATAGGCTATGGGGAAATAAAGCGTTAATGGAAAGCCATGTCAAATCCATATATTGCATAAATTGTATTAGCAAAGTATTTTCAAGTGACATGGCAAGACAAGACACGATGACCTAACTTCTGAAATATCTTCCTCCCGGCAAAAGGGTAAAGTAGTCATACGTCTGACTACTTTGTGGACAGTAGTATTGTCTCTATATTCTTTTGTTAACCCTATCCCTGACATTTTCGCCATATTGCTTGGGAAAAATGAAAGAAACAGCCTATAAAAACTTATAATAAATACATTACATGTAATAAATTAACCTTTAATGACGATTGTAAGGAAAACAAATCTTAAAGCTGATATTGCCGCAGCCTCATAATCAGTCTCCGTATCTAGGATTAAACATAATATTATTTTCACCACAGAATCTTAGAATTACTTGAAATAATTCTATATAGGTGGCCCTGGTTTTATCGGAAAGAAGGGCATAGACTATAGGTATCATAGTCTCACGATATAAGACATGAATTGTGTATAGTTGGTAATAAAGTCTTGGCACAACATAAAATGTGCCATCCATATATATGGTATCGTTATCACATGTTTCAATGATTTTTAGCATGCTCGATGTACCAAATACCAATATATCCCCCCTATTTGTGGTGATATATTCGGGCAACAGAATTATATCATCCATGGACTGTGGCAAAGTGGGCCGATTTTTTTGTAATAATCTATCTATTTTACTTTTTATTGAAATGTATGTGGGCATTGCCTCTATATATAAATTTATATTTGGGGTTTCCAAAAATCATTTGTTTAAAACTTTTTCATAAATATTATGCCGAGTTTCTAGAGGATTTTCAGCAACAACATCCTCTAAAACTTGATATGTCCTAAGCTTTTCAAAAACACCAATTTCATTCTGATGTTCATGCAAACCAGAGGTTATGTAGATTCCATCAAGTTTGCATGAAGCCTTGCAACCAACTATTCTTCAATGATAATGAACTCAATCACTTTTTTGATATCATGCCTATATAAATAATTTTGAAAAAATAGAAGTCTTTTTCCTTTTTGAGAATTTATAAACTGAGGATCTTATTAAATAGAAAAATTATATATTAATAAGGGCTCCAACATTATAGGAAAAATCAGACAGAACAAGATATTTAAAAACAAATAAATAACTTATCATTTAAAGATGTTTTAAAATTATTTCAAGGGCATGCCTAAAATTAATTTTAAAAATCTCTATGCTATATTAAATATATAGGGTTATAATATTATGTGACAATATGTATTTAACTAAAGCCATTTATAAATATATTTTTACCAAATGGTAAATCTTTAAATCAATGTTAAAATTATTGTAAGGATATATATATATAAATACCTTGATTTGCATTAGAAGTTTGAAGGGCTATTGAAACTTGGGCTAATTATTTTAAGTTAATTTTAATAAAAGTATACTAAAAATACCTTGATGTGTAATGGCTAGGGCAACTGAACTTGAAGGTGGAGGGGCCAGGGTTGGGCAGTATCGTGGATATTTGTATCAAAGATAAAAGATATAATCTTGTATCCAGTATCTAAGATACATATTATTTAAAAGTATTTGTATCTTAACCAACTTTGTATTCAAAAAGATACAGATACTTTAAAAAAAATTTATATTGGTTAATTTAAATAGTATTAAAATTTAAAATGATAATGTTTTAAGATTTAAATGAAAAATTTAATCAAAATTTAGATCAGAGACCTGCAGCGTATTTTAAATTTTTTAAATATACCCGGGCCGGGCCTAAAAAAATTTTTTTTAAACATATCCGGGCCGGGCGGGGCCTAAGATTGTTAAACCCGGGCCGGGCCTTAATATTTTTTAATTTTTACATTATGAGTTAATGGTTATAAGATTATATTATATCATAGTTATGATTAATATAATATTGGGTGATGGTTAACACTACCTAACAACCCGCAGATCGATCTAATTATTAATTTCCTGCAAATTTATTCAAAGTATTAATATATTTTTTTAAAATTCATATCTAAATTTTTACAACATATTTAACCAAAACAATCAAATAAAGGAATATCTTAAATAAGCCCCAATATTCAAGTATTATTAATATATTTTTTTATAATTCATATCTAAATTTTTAGAATATATTTTACCAAAACAATCAAATAAAGGAATATCACTTCTTAAAGTTTGTAATACCTTTCAAAGCGAAAAGGAGAAATAAAATTGATTTTACTTAAATTGAAAAATTTGTTTTACACAAGTATCATTTTATTTCTCTTTTTCTATGTCCCAAATTCAAGCAATTACGTATGTAGTCAGGGACAGATCGCAAAATGACGGAAAACTATATAAAAGATTATATTAAATTACAAGAGGCTCAGAGTAAATGAAATACCATCAGTCAAATTACGACTGTTGTTAAACAAACTGAATCGTTTTATGATAAATGGGGCGATGGTAATTCTGGTAATATGTCAATACCCGATGATGAATATTATAATTACATAAATAATAGATAAAACATTTAAGGTGGATAATTTGTTAGAGTGGTGGGCGGCTCATCAAAGCGAATTTCCAATTATAGCAAAATTGGCAATTCCTGCTTTAAGTGCAAGCTGTGAGCGGAATTTTTCCACTACTGGGAGAATTCTTGAAGAAATAAGAAGTAATCTTCAACCTGAAAAGCTAGATATGCTTCTCTTTCTTCATGATAATTTGTGAATTTTAATATCTTTCTTGAGTATAGGGTTTCGTCAATCATGCTGGTTTTTTACTTTGCAAACTGTCAAATATTTATTGCATTTATTATATTTGCCTTGAGTCATGAAAGTTTTTAATCCAACATTTTTCATTATTTTTTTTTACAATATTATATAATACAATTATCTTCTTTTGTTAAAAATTTATATTATAAAATAAATTATATTAGTATTGTGCAATTAGATTATATTTTCAAAATACTATTTATTATACATGCATTTTTTTAAATAGCGATTTATTTTTATTTTATAAATTAAATAGTAAATTAAATACAATATATTATATTCTCAAAATATTTTCCATTTTTATAAATTAAATATTAGTTTGAATAATAATAATAATTTTTAAAAATTTTATATCTAGAAAGAAAACTTAAATTGGTGCGGTTTCATCCGGTGGAAAATTTGAAGTGATAGAACGGTAAATATTATTTTATTTTAATCATATTTATTTACAGATTCTATGAACATTATATCTCAATATTGATAGTAATTATAACTTACACTAAAGAAATTAAGCTTAAAATCTGCCATCACCCACCTTTAAAGTAATTAAAGTATACTGTAATTTTTGGGTATAGGCTTTTTCTTTGTCCCACGCCTTTTAAATTAAAGCCTATAAAGGTTTAAGCAACATTTTTCGAAATGTTGTGCCTACATGTACGTGCGGCTTGCCCACAAACATGTGGAGGGCTCCTCATATTTTTACTTTTATACCCAAATTAAATTGTTCCAATTAGATGGAAATGAGGAAAACCTAGCGTAGCTCTGTTAAATCTTCAACGCTAGAGGGCAAAAGCGCTATATATCACGTATCACGTAATATTAGTTTTATTTTTTTTAAATGT